CACGCAATAACAATTTAATATTCGGACGCAATCGTTTTCTTCACTATCTCCTGGTCAATCAACGGTCAGCACAAAAAATTAACTGGTATTTTGCTACAAAGTAAACCAAAGGCCAGTTATTTTTCTTGTTTTTTTATAAGGAGTAAAAAGCGAAAGTTAAATTTAGTATTCTTTTTATTTTCAATTCTTTATTCATACTTACATGCAGTTAGCATTAATAAGACCAACAAATCTAGACGAACTATGTGAAAAACATATGTGCTTCAAATATAGATCCACTTGCCCCTCACCGCTGTAGGTTCGAATCCCGACAGGGACTTTGTATTCTTTCATGTGAGGAAGCTATCCAGCTAGCTTACGGAACGTCGGTGGTTCTACTCAGGTGCCCGTTCGTGCCTGAAATAATGCACGGAAGGCACCTGAGGTCTTCCTCCACCAGTAAAGCTGGAACGTCGCGATATGACCTATACTGTGTCGATGTGACGTAAAACCCAAAACAAAAAAAAAAAAACACGTTTAAGTTTTCTATAGATATACAGGGAGAATGAAAAGTGTGTAATGAAATTTATTTTACCTTTACATGATCTTAGACATTTTAGTGAACAAAGATAATGGATAAGCAAGCACATTTATATTAAGATAACCAAAAATATGAGAAATACGTAAAAGCACAGTTAAAAATAATGAATGACAATTTATGAAAAGTATAAATAACATAAGTTTAAATATAATTATTGTGTGTTTGATGAGTAATTATTCTTTTTCACACGAAAAATCGTTAATTCATCATAGGAAGGAAGAAAGGAATGAAGAAAGGAACGAACGAACGAAATGAAACAAAAATTGTGTCAATAATCTCTAATGTTCATGCCGCGCGCAATAATATGAACGGATGATATCTATAATAAATAGTCCCAAATGTGTTAGTCAAATGTAAGAGAGACCTAATATTTTTTTTAAAGTATTCGCTTTAAGTTAATAATATTTTCAAACTAGTAAGAGGTTAAAAAAAGATGAAATTGCACCACTGTGTGCAGACCAGATATTGTTTAATTTTCTTAAGCTCACATGATTATTCTTCAAAGTATCAAGAGGATTTGCTCGTATATTACACACAAAGCTTGAAATCGGTGTTTGGAATCAACAATTGTGACATTTTTTGAGGAATCTGGGTGATAAGTCGTATATTTTTTTCGGAAAATATAGGTTTATAACCGTAGGGCTTAGGCCACAAATTATCTCTTTTATGTAACTCCTAGTTATAAAAGTAATAGTTCCTTCCTCCATGAATGGTCTTTATTGAACTTCTATATCAATTTTCAGTTCAAAATCAGCAATGTTTCGCGTTTTTCTTGCTCGCAAGTTGAAGTTTAAGCGGACAAAGAGTGTACGCTGTGTAGACGTTGAAATATGATTTGTCAAACTTGCAAAGGATTCTGGTTTGCCACTCGGTGGTTTACAGCGTTATTTTTACTTCAGCGAATCGTGTTACTTGTTAGTTTCACAATTATGTACCATATACATGTATTTATAGTAAGAAAACTCTTTGTTAAGTGTAATGTTTATAACTTTATAGGTGAAATAAGAAAAGCAAAGATAATAGTGCAAGATGAAGAATATTCAAGAACACATTAATCACAACATTCAAGTACGTATAAATCACAATATTCAAGTACACATTTTTTACAATATTTAAGAACAAATTAATCACAATATTCAATAACATATTATTTAAAATATTCAAGAACGTATTAATCACAATATTCAAGAACGTATTAATCACAATATTCAAGAGCGTATAAATCACAATATTCAAGAACTTATTAATAAATAACATGTTGAATCATCGTTGTTGAACATATCTTAATAATCTATATGTATTTTTAATAAGGAATAATAAGAAAACAAAATGCAACAATATAGGAAAAAGATTTGTTTTCCCTCAACACCGGAAAGGTTTCCGTATGGGCGAGCAAAAACTATTAGTACTCAAATATCTATACCTCAATATGACAATGTATGAAAAGCACAAATGGAAAAATTTTAGTTAATAACTCTGAACATTATAGTTAAACACCATTTTGTTTCTTGAACCAAAAATCAAATACATCTGAGGACTTATAATAAATATTTTTACATCGTCAAATATAAAACTTGTCGATATAGAATGTTGCATTGAAAGAAGTAATAATTTCGTTTGTAAAGATTTTAAAATGGCATTCTCCCTTTAGTTATCACATTTGAGATTTACACGATGATCAGAATATTTATTGTCAATTGTCAATGTCAAGCAAAAAGATAAAATAAAAACAAATATAATAAATGTCTATACATATTTTGTGTTTGTAAGTTAGTGAGATAGAATATTAAATAATGATTATCACATGTAAAACTAGATAAAATGTTAGGTGACAGTCTAATAGATAATGCAAAGCACTAAATACATATTCCTTGTGTATTCAGTTACTATATTAAGTGATTTTCAAAAGTGCTTTAAAACAGCAAATAGTTTACAGAAAGTTCAAGGAATGTAAACAAAATATATATTATGTTGTTTCTAAAACTTTAACTAGTTGTACACATAATTGTCCCTTCCTGCGAAAGACCGATTTCAGACCACATTTTAGACCTAATGAATAGTAAAGTGATGTTAGAAGTCACCACCGATTTTTCATTCGTTACTGGTCTAACTTCTTACATTACGAACTAACGAGCTCAAAGTTTTATAGATAAATAGATAATTACATGTTTATTATCTGTTATTCAACTGGTAAGTGTTTGCAGTTTTAAATAACGCTACCACTATATCTCATAAATATCTGTTATTTATCTTATTTACACAAAAACTAACTATGCATGTAGTTGGTAAGATAACTAAGTTAAACGTTAAACTTACATGTTAAATAATCGGCAGAAATATGCAGCCATAGAATATATTTAATTTAATTTTGTAAATACTTACTAATAAAATTTAACCTATACATAGTTTATAGCTTGAATGAAAATCATCATTCATCATTTTATCAGGAATTCAGATTTTAGAATATGTTCCTTAAATGTTATACAAATTTCCTTCATACAAATTGTTTTTCAGTCTTTCCATTCTTGCGGATCCAAAACTTTACCTGAGACGCCAAATCTTACCGAATGCCTTAATACACATTTATTTTGAAGATAATTTATTCAAGTACAACGTTGTTCGTTGTAAGTCTGAAACTCTTTCGTCCCGTGGCATGCCATCTTACAGTAAAAGTATCGTCTTCATTCACCTTTATCACCCTACCTCGCTGTCCTCTATGCACCTGATACATACGAAAGAAAACTTGGTATAAATTTCTAAAATAGTGTCAGAAAAAAATGCACATGCATACTTACTCTTTAAGATAAGGACATAAAGTGTTGCAATTGGTATATGATATGGACGTTTAGACAGATGCGCGATAGGCAAATGAGAGTATGGCATAGACAATAAATTCCATTCTTTTACATTTGACCTGGAAACCAAACATTACCCTTACAGATTAATTGCTATTTTGACATGATATTTCGAAATCTTAAAGTGTATAAAGTGTATAAAGTACGATGTTCCGTTTGGTCAATCGTGATTTTCTATTTCGTCCCTACCCGTAATGCACGATGGTACGATGGTCCGATGGTAAAAACGCGATAGTACGATGGCGAAAGCGCGATTTGACACGATGATGAAAACGCGAAGGCACGATGGTGAAAACGCGATTGCACGGTGTCGAAAACGCGATGGTACGATGATGAAAACACGATGGCGCGATGGAACGATGGTAAAAACGCGATGGTACGCTGGTGAAAACGTTATTTTTTACCATCGTGCTATCGCGCCATCGCGTTTATGCCATCGTAACATCGTTCATCGCGGGTACAGACTAAATAAAAATCATGATTGTCCAAACGGAACACGTAATAAAAGCTTTATCTGAATTTTAAAATTTAATAAATCTGAAAAAAACCTGTTTGAAAGAAAATACGTTGCTATTTTCTCTGTTAGTGAATGACGCATGCACACGATCATTGTTAAACGGATGAAAGCCTATTTCTAAATGCAGCATTATATTTTGTTCAAGAACATTTTGTTTTGTTTTCCCGGGGTCTTTCAAATAGAATGGTCTGGAAACGTGCTATGTAAAACCTTCTCACTACAATTAAACATGTCTCGGTATGATTTACAATACGCAAATTATGTAAATGTTAAACAAAAAGGCGAAAATTAAATACAAGAGCAAAATGAAAGTTCTAACGACATGATGTTCTTTAAAAATCGTTAAACTTGAGAAAAAAGATAAAAATTATAGAAAGTAATGTTTGTTAATAACATCGTGAAATATTATATTATAAAATCTTTACATGATACGATAGAATAGCATTTTTTCTCTGTAAAATCAATTTCTATTTTGTCATTGAACAATACATAAATTAAAAAAAAACAACTAATGAAACTCGGACCTATTTTCAAATATAAGCAGTAGATTTTTATCTTGACATCGGGAACGAAAAAATCCTAATTTCATTTCAAATCTATAAATTTGTTCCTTTTTAAATGTAATGTCTTTTCATAAAATTCTAAATTTATGATTACCTACTATTTGAAAGACGCTGGTTATACATACGTATTCATGTTACATCTCTTTCGAGCCACAAGATCATGGAAAATAAAAATTTAAGAATGTACAATAATTTCATTAACTTAAAACCCTTTAAGGATGACACGGTTATAAAATAATTGAATTTGTCTTTTAATAATATTTTAATTCATATTGTGAACTTGACTTTAGAGTCAACATCAGAGGTTTTTGTAAATATGCAATAAAAAACTGGATCACGAGCGTATAAATCACTTGGGTGCGATTTACTTTGTATAAATTTTTTTTAAAATGAAAGTATGCTCCTTTTTGTGTCCTTTTGTTATTAATCACGCGTTGTTTATTTAAGATAAACCTTAATCTAGTAACCCATCTTAACGGCATGATAACATACACAGATAAATTTTTATTTTAACGAAATAGGGCCACTTTGAATGTGACTGGTCGGTCGAAATTATCATTTAAATTTTAAATGTTATTGCCTAGGACTGTTAAATATAGGTGAACATGGAAGTTTCAGGTAAAACAATCCAAATAACTTCAGACCCTAAAGATTTATGTGAACTTTGTCATATCGGAGACACTCAGATCGCTAATGCCGATGGAGTTTGTTTAGAATGCGACCAATTTATGTGTAATACATGCTTCCAATATCACCTGAAAGTGAAATCTTGTAAAAATCATGTTTTGGTTAATATCGCCAAGTTTTCACTTCAAAAGGAATCTGAAATTGCTATTAAATGCAAAACTCATTGCGGTGAATTGATAAAGTTTTATTGCCGCAAGCATGAAATCGTTGGATGTGGTGAATGCATGATACCTGATCATATCCCATGTCAACCTGAAAATATAAAGGATTTATCGAAAGATTTCCAAGAAAATGATTCTTTCAAAAGTCTACTTGGAAAACTTGATGATATTCGTTCAGCTATCATTGATAACAAAAAACGAGTTGAAGAGGGATTGAAGTCAAACATAACGATGCAAGAAGAAGCAAAGGAGGAAATTAAAAAATTTCGAACAAGGATAAACGACTATTTGGACAAAGCAGAATCAAACATTCTCCAAGAGCTTGAAAATACACATTGTAAAAATAAAGAAATTTTAGAAAAGCTTGAACGAGAATTGTTGGAACTTTTTGCAAGAGCAACGGAATTGGGTAAGAAAATAGACACAGAAACGTATCGGGAAAGTTCTCTTTTTGTTCAAGCAATTGAAAGCAAGCCGGGTATTATTGAAATAGAGCAAGAAATGTCAAGAATTAAAATGGAGAATAATATTAAACAATATACCTTTATACCAGACCAACAATTGAAAACTATTTTGCTTGCACCTGAAAAACTTGGGAATCTGGATGGATTACTGTCCGAATCCATTTCGCCGACTAAATCACCTGGTGATAAGGAAGAACGGACATCTGACAATGAAAATGGTGATGAATCCCATGATGAAAGCGAAAGCATTGACGGTCTTACACAAGACGATAATGACAGCGACAACAGTGATGAAGGTAAAAAAAATATCAAAATTGTTGTCTTCATAAGTTAAGTCATTCTCTCTGAAACAATCTGAAATAACTTTTGATATTGTAATTAAATCGTTTTGTATTTTTATTATATTTAATTTATTTTATAGACGAAGACCTTAATCGTTGTCAAATATCCGAGGGATCTATTGTAAGACCTATTGGGAAACCTTGGTCTAGAGGATATTTTAAGGTAAATCTTTCTGATTATAATAGTGCTAGAGTTTCATACTAAGTTATATAGTTTTGCATGAATAAAATTCACTACTCTAATGTCAAGTTTACAATATGAATTTAAACATTAGGACCGATTCAAGTATCTTATTACCGTGTCATCCTTAAAGGGTCTAAAGTTATATCTAATGAACTAATGAAATTATTGTACATGTACATTCTTAAATTTAATTTTCCATGATCTTATAGTTGATTATCGAAAGAGTTGTAACAGAACGTTTCTGTGAGTTAACACATATGAATACTGTTTGAAAAACCAGAGTCTTTCAAATAGAAGTTTATTATAAAATTAGAATGTTATGAAAAGATATTACAATTTAAAAGGAACAAATTTATAGATTTGAAATAAAATTAGGATTTTTCGTTCCCGGTGTCAAGGTAAAAATTTACTGCTTATATTTGAAAATAGGTCCGAGTTTCATTAGTTTTTTTTATTTATACATTGTTCAATCACGAAATAAAAATTTATTTTACAGAGAAAAAATGTTATTATATCGTATCATTTAAAGATTTTATAATATTTTACGATGTTATTTACAAATATTTGGTGTTTAATTTGGTGTATTTTCAAAAAGGCACCGTTTGTCGGCAAACATTCTGAACAAGCAATATATGTTTTCCAACAGATCATGGCTTTAAAAACATTATTCTGGCAAACAACCATGAGTCTGTTAGGACAATGCCTGATTTCCAGGTCAAATGTAAAAGAAAGGGATTTATTGTCATTTTTCTATCGTTTTATCGCGCATCTGTCTAAACGTCCATATCATATATAATACCAGTTGCAACGCTGTCCAGTATTTACTTTCATTGGTATTTTATTATCCTTAATAGTATGTTTAACTACAAACAGAACTCTTTTATGCATGTTTTTTTGTTTTTTGGTTGTTTTTTTTTTACATTGACGAAAGTTTTCTTTTCCGTAATCAGGTTCATAGAGGACAGAATGGTACGGTCATAAAGGTGAACGACGACAATTCTTTTGCTGTAAGATGGCATGCTACGGGACGAAAGAGTTTCAGACTTACAATGTACAGCGTGGAACTTGTTTAAATTGTCTTCAAACGTCTACAATCAAATGGGCAGACAACAGTTCAAGCGTCGGCAGCTGTACCAGTATATATATGTCGGCGCATGAAAGACAATGGACGGACGGTAAGTATTCATCTATTATTAACATAACCCAACTATGTTCGAATAAATCAATGTTATGGATTCATCAGCAAGAATGAATAACCCTGAAAGTCGTTCAAGGAAACAATTTGCAGCGATTTTGTGCTACAGTAACTAGGAAAGAGTAAAAAAAGATTGTTCATTTAAAATATAATTTATTCATGATACTTTCTTATAGACCTCATGCTTACGAAATCCATCTACTCTTCAATAATTTCTAAATTTTACATTCTTGCTGATGAATGGCTGTCGATGATATCATTAAAAAGAGGCGAACGGCTGATGACGTTACTAAAATTTTGATGACACCCTATATCACTTTAACAGAAAAGCATTTTTAAAGGTATGGTTTGGAATGTTGACGTTTACGAATCGTATGATAAACGGATTAATTATCATGAGAAGATATAAGTAAATAAAAATGCCGTATATCATCGGATATTGTGGTTATTGTCGGCAAAACTTCACGTGAAGTAAAGCTTGCATAGGGCTAGAATTGTGTTAGCATACTCCTTTGGGCGTTGACTATGAATCCAATACATTGATTTACTCGAACACAATTGGGAAATGTTTAATATAGATGAATACTTACCGTCCGTCAATTGTGTTTTCTGCGCCGACATGTATATACTGGTACAGCTGTCGACGTTTGAACTGCTGTCTGCCCATTTGTTGTACGGTGTGCAAAATAAGTGTGCGTTAAGGCATTCGTGTGATTTGGCGTCTCAGGAAGTTTGAGGTCCGCAAGAATGGAAAGATTGAAAAACAATTTTTACAAAGAGTGAAACATAGGGAACATGGTCTAAGTCCGAGTTTCTGATAATGATAAATGATGATTTTCTTCCGAGTTTCATGTACGATTACTAGAGTAATATAAGGAATGTATGACTTTAAATCATTATGTGCATGGATGTTTTGGTGACTTAGATGACCTTCTTTGTCTCACAGAAATTATGTTCGGTGGACTATGTGTCTGGATGGTTCCCCTCCCGTGTGTTGCATCTTGGCATTTGAAAGATAATGAACTGTTTACTTTTTATGTAAATGTGATTAGTTAGTTATTTAAGTAGTTTCTGTATATATACTTATAATTTTTTGTTTGTCTGTCCATCAATATACATTGTATTCTATGGCTGCATTTACCGACAATTTAACACTTAATTTTTAAGTTTAACTTAGTTATCTTACCAACTACATGTTGTTAGTTTTTGTGTAAATAAGATAAATAACAGATATTTATGTGATTAACTAGATATAGAGGTACATTTGTATCGTTAGTATTTAAAACTGCAGACACTTAACAGTGAAATAACAGATAACAAGCAAATTTGTTGAATTTATATCCCCCACCGAGGACTGGTTATTACTAACACAACAACTGAAGACATAAGGCTTTATTTATATATATATTTATCATGATGTAAATCAGTAATATTATTATTCAGGGCAATTACAGAGCAATTACTCTGTGTTAAATAGTTATATCTGGACATGCCAATGAGATGAAAATTGCCTTTTTTTTTGTATCGATGGTTCCAATACCGTTTTGTTGAAATCAATACAGCAGTTGCAAAGAAATAGCAATATTGCTCTATATGCATACTACATAACTAATCAAGGACCAAAATTCTTTAATGGAAGGTCTGGTCTGAACAAGGCAACAAATTATGCATATCTCCTCGTGGTATAAATAGTTCCCATAAAGTTTAATTGATTTCCAGCCAGTAGTTGCAGAGAAGTAGCGTGGAAACAATTATTGCTCTATACGCATTATTCATAACTTATCAAGGGCCATAACTCTGAGTTAAAGTGTCTGACTGGAACAAGGCGACGATATGCGCATCTCCTCTTGATATTGATGATTCCCATAAAGTTTCGTTGAATTCCAGCCAAGAGTTGCAGAGAACTAGCAAAATTCGCACGGACAGAAGGACGGACAATGCCAAAACAATATCCACCATCCCATTCCATCGGTGGGGGATAATTAACAGACAATTAATTATCTATTTATCAATAAAACTTTGAAACTGTTAGTTCGTTAGTTAAAAAAACATATAGATAAAGCTTTGAAGATCATATTTATTCATGAAATGGTATTTTTCATATCAAAACTGTGTACACAGTAACACAGTCAATAATGTGAAAATTTTCTGCAAACAAAATTTACTTTAATAATGATTAATATATTACTTTAATAACAATATTCATTAAACAATCTCTAAAGGATCTCGATCAACTTCTGTTATGACAACATTAGTTTTACTATCAAGGCATTCTTCCAGTTTAGATTTTAACACAGTTAAATATCCCCGTTCAGTGTTGCTATGATCACATAATATCACCGCTGAGTTATTATACACAGCATGGAGAACCTCGTGATGTGACATTTCACCCGTCACATACAGATCTGCTGTGACATTACGTAGAACACTTCCACCCGAGCCCGCACAAACTGCCACACTTGATACTGCCTCTACACCTGTAATATAACACAAAATATATGCTATTAAACTTGATACAAATATGAATCTTTCAAGGAAAAGCAATAAATACTTATTTAAGCTGCAAACCTCCAGATGAGCCAAAATATCTAAGAAAAACAATCTTGAGAAAAATGTACAGAGCTTTTAAGAAAAGTAAAATAAATTGATTCAAGATAAAAGTAATAATTTCAGATAACAAGAGCTGTCAGAAGGACAGCGCGCTCGACTTTTTTAGTGCTTGCCTATAAAACAAAACTTTGACAGTTAAGGGCACACAAGACTTTAACTAGGAATTTCTAAGTACAAATCAAGAAACATTTTCACAGAGTTATCTTCTCTTGCTTACAGATAGGTCTCATGATGGCACATAAGAACTCCAACTTCCAAAGTAATATCTCAAATGGTTAAGTCAACAAGTGGACAAGAATGAAAATCTTAACTGAGTTTCTAAGTCAAAAAGGGCCATAATTCAAATAAAATCCTTAACAGAATTACCTTCTCCTGCCCATGTTTTGGGACCATGATGGTAAACAAGTATTCCAACTTTCAAATTAATATCTCAAACAGTTCAGTCAAAAAGTGGACTGGTACTAAAAACTTAACCAAGATTCTAAGTCGATAAAAGGCCTTAATTTTTAAAACAAATCCTTGACAGAGTTACCTTCTCTTGCGTACAGATGGGGGTAATGATGTGAAATAGCATTAAAAGTTTCAAAGCAATATCTCAAAGGGTTAAGGCAATAAGTGGATTTTACCCATATTCAATGTATTTTCTAAGTCAAAAAGGGGCATAATTCTGTCAAAAACCTTGACAGAGTTATGTCCTCTTGTCTGTTGATGAAGGTCGTGATGGTAAACAAGTATGGTCAGTTTCAAAGCAATACCTCCAATGGTTTTGAAATAAAAGTGAGGTGGTACAAAAAACTTAACCAAGCTCAATACACTTTCTAAGTCAAAAAAGGGCCATAATTCTGTCAAAAACCTTGACAGAGTTATGTACTCTTGTCTGTAGATGGAGGTTATGATGGTGAACAAGTATGGTAAGTTTCAAAGCCATACTTGTAATACTTCTGAAATAAAGTGGGGTGGTACGAAAAACTTAACCAAGGTGTGACGCCAACGCTAACGCTAACGCCGACGCCGACGCCGGGGCGAGTAGGATAGCTCCCCTTTTCATAGAAAAGTCGAGCTAAAAATTAAAAGTGTACATTTACCACTAATGTCCTTATCCCATATCCCAAAATTGTCCAGTAATAACAAATGTCATGATAAAATTTCCTCAATTAAGAATATGTCATTTAAGGAAAATGTCATTTTATGGTTAAGAATCAACTTCAAAATCTAGCTCTCTTTCAGATGTATGTTGCTTGTTTCTAGCTTACATAGAAAAGAAACAGAAAAGAACATTACACTGATAAAGGCTAAAGGCATCCTCAGACAGGCAGAGAGCCACAGCAAATCTCATATCCGATATCTAATGATCAATGCAGTGGCCAAAAAATTATATACTTCTATAAATTTCACAAAGAATGTAACATTTTGCTGGCATAACCCTCTTTCATGAGATGTGTGATTATGTGAAAATCTATAAATATACAATTGTAATTTAAGCTTTACCAAAGATTGATGTGCGCAGGAGAGAGTGATTTAATATAGTACATTTCACATGTGTTATTCAAATAAAAGTTAAAAATAGGAAGGCATCATAATTAAAACATTTCTACAATCCTTCTTTTTGTAAACCATATGTGTTTTTTTTTCTAAAACCCATGCTTAGTGGCTGTTTGTATTTATGAAATTCTTGAATTGTGCTTAGTATGTAATTTCTAAAATCCTTTTTTATCTAAAATCCTTGTTTTGTAAGCATTTTTTTTTAGGATCTTTGTACACGGTATATATTTTCTTTTATCTTAGCTTTGTATACTGTATATTTTCTAAAATCTTTGCTTTGTGCACCATTATGTGTTTTCCAAAATCCTTTCTTTGTGCGCCATATGTAATTTCTAAAATTCTTGCTTTGTGCACCATAATTATGTAATTCTTAAAATCCTTGCATTGTGCACCATATGTAATTTCTAAAATCTTTGCATTGTGCACTGTTTGTTTTAATCTAAATACCTTGCTTTGTAAACCATATTATCTAAATTCTTTGCTCTTTACATATTAATTTTATAAACACCTTGAATTGTATGCTGTTTATTGATATGACCATTTAGCAATAAAATGAAAAGCACTTAACATACCTGGAGATTTAGCGAGACGCACACGATCTAGTTTGAGATGTTTTTTCACAAGTTGTACAGCCTCGTCTAGTGATATACTGTTGTTGAGCTTAGCTTTGCGACCCATACCATAACCCAATGTAGGTGCCTAAAAGAATATGTACATTCATTTTTTTTTAAATTACATGGTACATTATCTCAACTTTTGGACAGTCCCGGCAACTTCCAGATAACAAGAGTTGACTTTAAGTGTTTGTACTCTACAAGGAGTACTTAAAGTAACATAAAACAGTATAATAACATGACCATGTCAGGTATTAGATACATGTATGTCTAAAAAAAACTAATACAAAATTGCCACAAATCATCCTTTTGATGTACAAATGTTCATGTATATATCATTTTTAAGGACTTCTATTTGTTGGGTTTTTTAAATCACATTGACACTGTTAATGTCATAACGCATTTTTTCATCTTTACTGTTATCAGGAGACCTAAGGTGATCTACTTTGTTTGATTTTAATCATGAGAAGGCGTCCGCATTTCTTAATCTGGCTAAATAGACAGCTGAATAGATTTGCCCGTTGTTGTCGAATCCAAAGTATTGGGGGCTCTATGTCAAGCCATTTGTTATATGTTCCTTTAAGCTAAATTTGAAGCTGGCTAATGAAAGTCTGCTGCAATAGTTTTTGTTTATTTTAATATGTTTAATAAGCTATTAAATAATTCCACACAATTATAGTTAGCATTGTGTAAAACTCCTTTGAAAAATATGAAAAATTAAATTAATTTGCACTTGTATATCAAAACTCATTTATGCTCAACAATAACATATAAGGAAATTATTTGAATCAACAGCTTCAGGAAATTCATCTTCTTAACTTACCTTTTCTAGGTTTGTTATCTGTAAATTCTTTACAGAATCCATTTTATCTTGTAATATTGACATCACCCTCTTTAAGGAAGATTTTGTACAATGAACAGATAAGTGGTGCTTACCATCTGATCTGTAAACAAACAAAAAATCATTTGGCCATGCAAAAAAACAACAACAAAGAAAATACAAAAGAATGAAAATTGTCACAAAATGAGTTTTTACTACCAATATCTGAAATTTGATCAAGAGATGTGTCTGTTGGACATGTTTGACTCCAAACTCCACTGTGTCATCAATTTACAGATAGATAGCAGGACCAGAGAATAAACACTTCAATATATTCCACTTAATTGTCAAAGGATAATAAAAACAAAATAGTCATAATTCTGCCAAAATAGTCATAATTCTGCCAAAACTGACTAAATCATGCAATCTCAAATGCTTCTGATTCTGGTCACAATCATTTGTGAAAAGACCTGTATAACTAACTATTGCTTACCATTATTATCCAATGTAAATTACCATTACTTTTAAATATTATTTAATACCATTATTATCAAATATTAATTAACAAGCTTTTATTATAAAACAATTACATGTATGACTTAATAAATTGCATTATCATTAAATATTAATTACTATTATTATCGGTTTGGGTCATCAGACCAAACAAATAGTGGTAGCGAAATTTCAGACCCTGATATGCTTATTTGCAAAATCCAAAAGTAGTCCATCACGTATTCTGCGAAGCAGTTACTTCCCTTTAAAAGTACACTAATGCCGAAAAATTAAGGGGATATCACTGCGTACAGATTGTCAAATGACAGGCGCATTAATTTTCAAACCTCTGAGGGAAGAAAAAATAGTTCCTGATTGATCGAAAATTTCTAATTTGTGTAATTCTTTAACATTTCGGCAATTTACCAGTAATAGATTCAAATAATTTTGAATATCATTTTAATCAAGGAAAATTACTCAGTTATTTCAGTAAAGCTTCGGATTATTGTCATCGTCTAAATGTACATTTGGTATTTAGACTTTCTGAAATATAAAGTAAGGATGTTGACTCTAAGACAGGGACATGATTATTTACATCAGTGTTAAACAACAGGTTTACCATGAAAAAATATTTCAACATTGATAATGATTACAAACCCTAATTTAGAACAATATGGTTTGCTTTAGGCAGGCTGATTTTTATAACTTCCCTATGGTCAGGGGTTACACGCTTGTTTCAAGAGCCAGAGGTTTGTGGTTCCATCCCAGATAAGGCCACCCTTTTTTAATTTTTTTTTAAATTGTTAAAGCCAAATAAAGATTGAATTGAATATCAGTGCTGCAATTAGCCTTATTGCCAATTTACTACAGTTATAACACTGGAAACAGCATTGCCGACACTATACAAAATGAAATTGGTTTATAATCTCACAACCTTCACCTTTCTGACATTCTGAGACCCAAACAAATTCAGCGCCTTCTGTGCTTTGATTAAACATTCATGATTATTTCATTATAATAACATTTAAATGTTTACCTTTCTCTACATTCTGTAATTTTAACTTGTTGTTCAGCTTTAAATGCCTCCCTCAATAGCTGGGTATGTTCAGCTGCGACATCAAGCTCCACCTGGTGGGTGTGACATGTGAGAAAATCTTCATGCTGTTCTACAGGCTCCACTGACTTACAATCTAACAAAAGGTTATTAAATAAATAAATTGTTTTGGTAATTAATTGTTAATAATCTGCCCAAAATCATGAGAAATTATCATCATTCCTATTAAAGTTATTATCATCATCTGTGTTACTATATTTATCTCTATTACTATCAATATCGCTATTATTGAAATTATTATCATTATTATTTATTACAATAATTAACTAGTGAACCATCTAATATGATGTGAGATTCACTGGTAGACCAAGTAGATAACTTTTACTCTTATTTTCAATACAAATAAAATATATATATACATGTATAAAAATTATTATATGGTGATGAGGCTTAGTGTCAGTGGTACACATCTAACAAGTTATCTAATGATTGCTTGCGGGATTAGTTCATAATTTATTCAGGGCAAGCAGTTGTTTCCTTGAGCAAGAAAATTTACACTCACTGCTTAGTATAATTTGGTTCCATGATCAGATTCCAAAGCGTGTCTAATAATCTTATAGCAACTTACACATTGAATCATACAAAAAAGTTAAATTATATGTGTAACACTAATCGCACACACATCAAATATTTTTTTTAGAAATAGTTTCATGAATTAAGTACTCAATGAAACTTTCTGGGTTACAAAGTCTTGAAACAAACTTTCAAATAATGATTATGTAGAAACAAAATAAGAGACCACTTTAGACATGTTAGATACGAATTAATGGGTCCTTACCAAAACAGCTGATGAGCCAGTCATTGACCCCACCCTCTACACAATCGTAACTTGTATGTGGCGAATAAACAGCAATTTTGTTCTTGATACATCTTATAATAATCTTATCCTTCCATTGTTTCTGTACCAGTTTTTTCATACCAGAGAAAATTGGTGGATGATAAGATATAATCATATCTGAGTTACGTTTGATGGCCTCGTCAAGAACCGGTGGGGTAAGATCGTTGGTAAGGAAAATGGTGCTAACTTTGTGCGGGGCTGATGGCTCTACGAGGAGTCCGACATTATCCCAAGATCCTGCCAGGGACGGAGAAGCTAGTTTGCGTAACCTGAAATGTATTTAATTTCCAAAATTAAACAGATTTAAAAAAAAAACTTTTAGATTAGATACAAAGACGCTGATAAATGTTGCAAATACATGCACAAGATACTACTTAATTATTATATATTTGTTGGTGGGTAAATCTACAATTTTATTTAGGGCTGTCATTGATGGACAATTTTGTATGGATATATCAAGACAAATATCGACGATGTATCGATTTATTGACTTTAACAATAAATACAATGAAAACAACATTTAAATATGTGTTTTAAATTAGGATCATGGTGTTATGCATGCTTGCATAGATATTACAAATACTACAAACTAACAGAAAGTTTTTTTTTCTGTTACTTTTGCCACTGACATTTGGAAGCAGAGTTTAAAGTTCAAGTAAGCCAAGAAACTTGAAAAAGTGAGTCTTCTCTAATTAGGCAAAATAGAAAGGTATATTCACTAAGAGAAATAAATAAATTTTAGCTTGTATCGATATTTGAAAGTGTGTCAGTCAGTACATATTTTGAAATTTTCCCTGAAAATGAGTAATTTTTGTCCAGATTGAAAGACGGACAGATCAATGTCAGGTAACTTGCATGATAAGGGTAAGGGTTTTTTGAATCTCAAAAGGCAACAATATTTATTCAGATTTGCTTACAGATCAAAATTAATACAGATAGCATTTATAAATATGTTGCTGTGACAACTAGCTCTAAAAGGGTTACAAAAATTATTACAAATTCAAGTAATGAGTAAATGTTTACTGTTTAAGAACATTTTGAAGCTCCATGCTGCTGTTTTCACTTGCAGTCACACAGTATCTTCTGTACATAAACTTCAAAGCCAAAGGTTTATCAGGCCACTGTTTATGGATCAGGTACAAAATACTTCTCAACATAACATCATGGTTTTACACTATGTGGTAACTCACTGAAAAAGAAAAAAATCAGAATTTGCATTGGTGTATTATAGGAATTTGAGATCAAAAATAGCTCTTATTTTAGTTTAAAACTAAGAAATTTAGAAGAAATAAAGGATCCATGTCATATATAATGTTAATAGTTGAACTGTTAAGACTATGACAATTGGATCTTTTAAGCTGATCTTGTCTACACTTGGGTAACATACAAGAGAAGAATCAGTTGCTGCCGGCAGGTTAAGGGTCTTTTAGTATTAAAAACATATTTATGGGTACCGACTACCATTTAGCTCAACAAATTTTGCGTCAAGGCTTTTATTTTATAGACGATGGTAATTTGCCCTTTGCGTAAAGACAGTGACATCTATGTACAATGTAATATCAGTTTGTAAAATTGGCCGGTCTTGCAGTCGAAATATTGAGACTAGGGTACCATTTTATAGTTTTCGAGAGTGTTAGGGTATACTGAGTTACACAGGGGGGCTCATAGAAGTGGATCTACAATGTAGACAGGACCCCAAACAGCCAAAAGACAATAACCCCAACAGCTAGTGATTAAGTATTTTTGAAGGAAGTCAAAATAAAAATAAAATATGTATGTATTTGGCCTATTTAACAGAAAAATCGTTAGGTGATACCACAGACACTTGGGGTGTGGAGCTTAAAACGCCTAAAATTCATATTTCAACGTCTATAATAATAGATCTACTATACAGTAGACGTTGAAATATGATTTTTTTTCAAAATGGCTTATACATGTATTAAGTTTTTTTGATATATAATGATCAGTATATGTGCTGGGATTGACAAATATACATTTTATTTGGATTTTAAAGGCATTTTAAGCTCCACACCCCTAGTGTCTGTGGGTGATACTTGTCAAACATATTCTTAATACATTTTTAAACAGTAAAAAAAAAAGAAAAAGAGAGGAAAACTCATTTTTGTCCTTTCCAAAAAAAAAGTTCACTGCTTTAATCAATCAACAAAGCTATGACAACTATTTAAATACAACAACATGGAGTTGTGTTTCTATTTTATCGATGAAATTAACATAAAAATAATAAAAGTAAATAAGAACAAAGTTGTTAAAAATTTACATGTTGCTGCTGCAATGGGACTGTTGGATAGAGTAGAATTTGTTGAAAACACCGGTTACATCAAGATCAAGTAAAAGCTTGGATATTATGTAAATAAAAGTCGACCTTAAGTGATAAAGTAATGAGTTTTAAGCACATTTTCTGTCTCACTTTGTTATTTTATGTTTATTATTCATCATTTAATGTAATGTAAAGCTAAACATATGTGATTTTAAGTACATTTCGAGATACCACAGAACTGCTAAGACTTCACCCTCAAAACGTTTCGTACCCATCATTTCTGTATTTGAGATATTGAGTAATTGACCATTTTTCAAGGTTAGATATAAATCATTAAGGCAGCATGGAAATTCTAAACTGGTTGGTGAGTTTTGAGGGTCTAAGGAATTGCTTTAAAGGGCAATTTTGGGACCATATGATAATCCCCTCAGGGGCGCAGAAAACCTATGTACGGGAAAACCCTGGCCTATTCACAAATTTGAGGATTTAACTCAATACAGGATTGGAGCAGTACCTCTAGACGCTTGCAGAAATCATTATCAGAAAATAGATAAATATCGTTTTTTTTCGCTGATTTTTAAATTTTTCATTCATTATCGTACATAAATCGGTGTGAAAAGATAAAATAGACCTTTTAAAGTTCATTCCGTTGGGTAAAACGGCAAGATTTTAGCATTTTATCATTCAAGCGCTGTGTCCGGTATATACTGGAATATGGTATTTAGAGTGGTGCTCCAAACATTGTTTAAATCGCACTCCGAATTCGAAAACATAGCTAAATGCTGTTTTCCGGTACTTTCTGTACATAGCTCTGGTGAATTCACCTAATGTCCGTGTAATGACGAACACTATGTTTTTGGCCTTTTAAATTAAAGTGAAATAAAACAGTTATTTCTTTCTATGAAAATATTTAAATAGCTTTGTATGAATAATTCCATACAAAAAGATAGAGTAACTCAGTAAATACAAAATTTTACACAGAAAATATCTTTATTTATTATGGAAGATGCCACTACGACTGTTTTAATTTTATTGATTTTCATTATATAAACAATTTATTTTTTGAAAAATTTGCAATAGATATTAAAGGAACATTGATAATTTTCAAATACATGTACATCAAGTTTTTTCACCTTCAATGGTAAAATAATGATAAAAAGATAGAAATATCATGTTATTGTGTTATATAAATTTACTTCATTTGGTGTAATTCCCAAGAGCTAAATCCGTAACGTACCGGAAAACGGTGTTTAGCTAGGTTTTCGAAAAGGTCAATGCTTAGTTTCTTATGATAAAATAATAATTAATGGAAAAAAAACACAGGTCTGGAAAAAAAATTATGAAGTCGTTTAGTATAAACGGGTTACAAAAAGTATTTCTGTGTACTAGTCTATAAACAGTGATAAGGCAGTTTTTGAGATTGTCCCTGTATATCATAAAGTTAATTATCAAGTCAGTGTACTTCAACTGATACTTAATTAATTTGGCGTGAATGGTTTGACCCATTTTATAGCTGTTTGTTCTACTGTTAAAAGACATTGCCTGTCAAAAATTATCTTGATGTCTCTTTGACCAGCAAACTGGTCAAAATCCAATGTCACCCTACTCTATAAAAAGGGAGATAAGTGCAATCCTGCCAACTTTAGACCTATATCCCTCACCAAGGCATTAAAATTATATATAACACTACCTGTGAGCACTGCCATGAAGTTCTGTGACAGAAGAAGGATTTTAAAAGCTCTAATCCATATTTGATAGTGTAATAGTACATGTTTAATATCTGTTCTTTTTATTTTTCAGAATCCAGTTATTCATCAGTGTGATAAGTACATGTACAAGGAAAGAATCACTTAAATTTTTCAAGACTTATATATCACAATTTTGACTGAATCTCTCTCTACAATCTATTTTACTTAAGGTAAACCAGGGAAAATAATGGCAAGACTATCAAAAAATGTATTGATAAATTTACGCCTAATGAAAAACAAAGACTTTACTTCTTTCTTTAATGACATGCACCTGTCGTATAGCAAACTTGTGGTGATTCGCGGTCTTGCATCGAGAAGTGGTTCAAATATTCATTCCTCAAGATTTTGTAGTACTAGCAGTGTAGGTACTTCTTCGACACCAGAAATAATCCCTGATAGTGAGAAAGAAGAAAAAGAACATGATTTAGCATTGTTCCCAAACCCAAGTGATTTAAATAAATTTGTGCCACATTGTGAGCCAGTACGAAATGAGGATGTTAGAAGACTACAGGAGTTTGTGAATCATAGCAAGCGTTTGTTAATCCTGACTGGTAAGTTTTTGTGGGTTTTTTGCCTACACTAGATTATAGAATAATATCAATACTCAAAGGTTAATCATTGGACTGTGAATTAGGCAACCCAAGTTCGATTCCCGGACAGCACAGGTCACTTCCCTTGTGATTGATCATAAAATCCTTTCTACTGTTATTCATGTGGTACTTCTTCACTGGCATGTACAGAAGTAATCAGTTTGACTGTTCCTTGCGTAAATGAAGGCAACTACTTGTCTAATACTGGTAAACTGCTTGACAGCTTGCCCAGGAACGATGTGGTGGTTGAACTGTGCTCTGGTAAATTCAATGTGGCTTACTCACTGCCTTGATCCAGAGTGAAAACTACAAACACCACACTAAATAAAATGATATGTATACAAAAAATTACTTAACCCTTAACCCGATATATATCTTAAATGGACCATCTTTCAATCTTGACAGAACTACTCATCATTTTTAAAGGAAAATTTCAAAATTTAAACTGACAAAAAAGCAAAAAAAAAGCAGACTATGATCAGACAGTGTGGATGTGCCAGCTTATACTTGTCTGCACTGGTTACATACATAAATGTAGAAGCAGTTTCCACCCGCAGGCTAAGTGTTTTACAGTGCTTATTAGTTTTTGAGAAGTAAATAGTAAAACAAATTACTCAAGGTGACCTATCGTTATTGCCCTATATCTGTTGTGTGTTCCCAACTTTTCATTTGAACAACTGTGTTACACTTCTTCCAGAATTACAGCTTCTCAGTTTATCAATTTTGTTAGGGATTATATTCCTTGTTTAAAATTGTTAAAATAATTCTATTTTATGCATATCCCTGATTCACCACAGTCTAAATAACTTATGTAAGATATAAACTTTGATAGAGTGGAATAAAGAGTCCTAAATTTTAAGGCAATTCATGCATAACTGTTTTAAAAATAAACTTCTGTATAGAAATATTGTTGGATGTATTTTGTGGTACATCAAGTTCATTGTATTTTATAATGTTTAGGTGCATATATTAAATATTTCAGGTGCTGGTATTTCGACAGAGAGTGGTATACCTGACTATAGATCTGAGGGAGTTGGCCTGTATGCAAGGAGTACTAACAGACCTGTGCAGTACCAGGACTTTGTGAAAGACCCAAACATAAGGCAGAGGTAATATTTAGTTGTTTAGTTGGATTTTTTTATTTATTTTTTAGCTTTACTATTCAATAAGAATAAGTAGAACTATACTAGTCACCCAAGCATAGGTGTTGGCGAAACCACTTATGTTAAAGTTTGTGTACCACCTCAAATATTTTCAAAGTCCATTGACATATTGCTTTGAAACTTTGCACACTTGTTCACCATCATGCACCCAACTTGTATCCAGGAGGAGGTAACTCTGTTAAGCATTTTGACAGAATTATGCCCCTTTTTGGACTAAGAATTTTCATTAAAAGTTTGCATACTATCACAAATATTTTTTGGATCATGTATACATGTTAATACTAAATAAAATATCTTATACATTTGATTAGAAAAACTACCATTGTATTAAGAATTACACTTTTCAGGTACTGGGCACGGAACTATGTTGGTTGGCCAAAGTTTGGATTTTTCTTACCAAACAAATCTCATGTAGCATTGGCAGAGTGGGAAAGAAAGGGCAAAGTTCATTGGTTGGTCACACAGAATGTAGATGCCCTTCATTATAAAGCTGGGAGTAAAAATGTCACAGAACTTCATGGCAGTGCTCACAGGTAGTTTGATATCTGAGTTTAATTCCTCATTTGGTTTGTATATTGTTTGATATATGCTAATTTGTATGGTCGTTTTAATTTACCATAATGATTATTCTCAATATTTACTCCTGATATACAAATGTATATATTTAAAGAGCTCCAGGGAATAAAAGATAGGTTTATAGCTATATTATGAGGGAAAGGTAGCTGGTGTTTTTAAAAGTATTTTGCCAACTTAAAGTTGTGTTAAGTGGCAGACAGCATAATATATTCTATCTTCCATACTCTTGTACTGAAAGAATTCACCCATTAATAAAAAAAAATACCTAAGAAAATGTGCATACAATGCATTTATAATATCACAAGAGTTTGCTGTTAACAGCCTTTTGTGTAGGTAGTGTTAATAAGCTGAATATATAAATTAATTAAATTTATAGATAAATGCATTGTCCATGTCCAAAAATTTTGATTCCAACTTATGGATTAAGGTATCGATCTAATAAAAGGAGTTGATTCTACAAACATGACTTAAAATGTAATTGATGTAAAGATCATTTTGCATTTGCTTCCACCAGTAATACATACAATTGATTTTTGTCATTTAACTTTAGGTACTACAAAGTAGAATAACATGCACATGAATGAATTTTTTGTTGAAGACTTCCCCTGTTTTAAATTTGGAAATATCTGTTGTGAGATTGTTGGGTTTCAGTATCAAGAAAGTCCAATTTACCAAGCATCGTTATAATATCTGGTCAGGCTGCATGGATATTCAGGTTGGCCAGACTCTATTTCTGATAACAGAGTTTTGTCTGTATGGAAAAATCTAATAGCAGTTTAAATTTTATTTCAGGGTGATGTGCTTAGGGTGTGACCATAAAATGACACGCCCAGAAATGCAGGTTTTAATAGAATCATACAACCCGAACTGGAGTGCTCAGTCAGATGAGATAGCCCCTGATGCAGATGTACAGCTGACACAAGATCAGATAGATGGTTTTAAGGTTAATAACTTTTAAGGTTGATAACCTTGCTAAATTTGTTAAATGGTCCAGGTTCTTCTTTGAATTCAGCACTGTTACATTGATCTTGTGGGATCAATAATAAAAACTGACATTAAGCATAAAACATTTTACAGTCTGAACAAACTGCAATGTCATTCAGGTTAGCCCTACTCTATACTGGTAGCATAGTTAACACTACTAAATGTTATCTTAGCTATAAATTTTATATTTCTTTCACTTTAAGTTAGGTTTCTGCAGGCTTATTTCAATAGAGAGAGCATCAGGTTAGCCGTCCAGGGGTCACTGGTTTGATCTGTGGGCAAGACGGAATTTCTCTTGAACTCAAACATCTAATTATCATTTGTCTTTCACCACTGTTTTAGAAATTATCTGGGATTAGTACAAGTAGTTAGTCACTTGTGAACAAATTACTGGTTAGTTATCCTGAAAAAACCTGTTAGATGGACCAGCTGTAGAGACATGACCTTAATTGTTATAAAATCTGAATTAAAACAACATTATTTACCTTTAAAAAATATTTTTTAAATATGTTCCAACAAAGATCAAAGATCATTATCCATTAACTTCATAATAACTAAAGCAAGAGCAACCTTATCCTGTACAAGCATACATTTCACAAGATAAAGTACAGAACTAAAGCTCATTATGAAAGAGCAATGGGTAATTGTAGATGCCAGGGTATCATTTATTCATTTTTATCCAAATTTCAGGTTCCACCATGCCCAAGTTGTGGAGGTCCGTTGAAGCCAGAAATAACATTTTTCGGAGATAATGTGCTCAAGCCAATAGTGGAGTTTGTTCATGATAAAGTGAAAGAGAGTGACAGTTTACTATTTGTTGGAACCTCATTACAGGTAATTATCTCATATATTGTCTACGTGTCACAATGATTTTGAACTTTTTGTAGCCATATTTAACATAAAATACAAGTATTTCAAATTTTTGCAAAAATAAGATTGAGTTCTCTCCCTTTAATTGTTTAAATCTGGTAAGTGGTGGTAAAAATAACTTGGCATGCATATACATGTATTAAACCCAGTTTCTGTATCATTTAGATATTTGTTTGACATTAATTAACCTGCTGTTATCGAGCATTTGCCACCAGGAAAGGGTCAGGCCAGCCTGCATATCCATGAAGTTTGACTAAGCTCTATACTGTTGGCAGCTCAACTTATGTATTTTGATAATGAAAACCTTCAAAATTCATATGGACAGTTATTTATAATTTGCAATTCATCATAATATTATTTTTATTTTATTCATTATTAAGATGTCATCAGAAGATTTTTTTTATGTTTCAGGTATACTCAGGGTACAGATTTGCTGCAGCAGCCAAGGACCAAGGCAAGCCAATGGCTATTCTTAACATTGGACCCACGAGGGCCGACAAATTAGCTCATTTACAGATACACGGAAAATGTGGTGACATTTTACCTAAAATTCAAATCTGGAGATAATGTTGGCAAAATATTAATAGTAGTGATAAAATGTGATATTATTTATTTATTTTAACTTGAACTTTTAAAGTTTCTCAAAATTTGGTACAAGTCAGATGTCAAAGTAGGTGATACTCTTACACAGTGCTTTCACATAAAGAAAACACAGGTTCATATGTCAATTTATAACAGTCATTCTACATGTAATTTTATATATAAAAAAGAGCATATTTTTAGGGTTTGAATTTTTATTTTGGTTGCAGCAAAGAATCATGACATAATTTGTGTGTATCTATTTATCAGTGTCTTACATATGTGATTGAACATTAATTTGTTTTGTAAAGATGGTGATGTGAAACCTCAGTCCTAATATATAGATTGTTAGCAAATAAGCTTGGTCTAGAACTTGAGAGTCAGCTTCAGTAATATTGGTAAGCCAGGAAACTGGAAATGAATGGTAGCATCAAATTGGATCAAGTATAGATGTATCAACAAGAGGTAGATAAAGACAATATTGTCATAGTCATTGTATCACATATTTTTATATTTGACCTTACTATACATTTGTAAAGGTGTGAGATTAGTGTGACAGCATCATACAATCAAAGCACAGAAGGTGCTGAATTTGTTTGGGTCTCAGAATGTCAGAAAGGTGAAGGTTGTGAGATTATAAACCAATTTGTTTTTGTATAGTGCCACCAATGCTTTCCTGTGTAAATTGGCTATAAGACTAATTGCTACACTGATAGTCAATTCAATGTTTATTTGACTTAAAAAAAAAAGGAAAAAAATGAGTTGCCTCAACTGGGATTTGAACTTGAGACCTCTCGTTTCATAAGCGAGCCTGCAAACCCCTCGGCCACGGTGAAGCTATATGTTCACAGCCCGAAGAAAACCATATTATTCTAAATTAGAGTGTGTAACTCTTATTATTTCGACGCTAAACACAGATGTAAATAATCATGGAGCTTACTGTAAGCATGTATATCTATAAAGAATGAAACAATGATCGAAATCTTTGACCATTCTGGAACTACTTTGCTTGAAAATTAATGCCCCTGTTATTTGACAATCTTTACGCATTGATCTCCCCTGAATTTTTCGGCGTTAGTGTACATATAAAGGGAAGTAACCGCTTCAAAAAAATGGACTACTTTAGGCATTTGCAATTAACAGCATTAGGCTCTGAAATTTCGCTACCATTATTTGTTTGGTCTGACGACCCAAACAAATAAAAACTCAGATTTCTCAATGTTGTCTTTTAAACTTTTGTTTTTGTTATATTTCATGTGTAGAAAACAAACATACACTGTTGATCTTTGTTTTAATATTTTAATTGCTTCACTTGAAATGAACACATGTTTTCTATGGATTTTAAATATAGAATTTATTAATCATATAATTTATTGAATATTTTTAAAAAGAATAAATAATGTTTAGTCATATTCTAAGGCATTCTACCTCACTTTTTTATAAATTTAAAGGAACACAAATAAGACTTCCTGATACAAATATCCTCTAGATGTATGCCTGTTGAAGATCCTGTATGTTGAAACACTTCATTGAAATTTTATATATGGATATAATTATTATTCTAAAACAATTTCCAAACATCCAAGAACATGCGAAATATGTAGTGCAAATTATTAATTGCATAATAAGTAATCATTTAAATATATGCATTCATTTCTTAATGAAAAAAAAAAAACTGGCTTAGCATTTATAGAAAATAAATTTCTAATTACCTCCTTTTATTTACATGGAATGTAAATTCGGTCATATCTTTACAAATAATGCTTTTTGGAACTTACAATATTGATAAATTTTCATTTGATAATCATATTTTTGATATAAAACTATAACAGAATTTGAGTTACAGGATCTTTAATGATATATCTGAAGGGCATTAATATGCAAGCTAGGGGGTATTTTTTAGATAAGCTGTGGGGCTTATGTGTGTATCGTACTAGATTTTTTTTATGTGTGTATCGTACTAGATTTTTTTCAGTGGCCATTGGTCTGTATTACCCCAACTATGTCAGACATTTTGCTGGTTATCATAAGAATTTTAAATCACATGGCATTTATTCATTTTTTATCATTAAAGTGTTTTTGTTTTCGTAAAATGGAGGTCTTTATGACCAAAATTTTTATTTTAATGTTAAATTTTTTATCAATAAATTGTTATCATGTTATTAAGAATTTTGTTGTTTCTTGGCAACATGCATTTATACAAGTATGAGTTGGTGTATTGTGCTCTTAAAGCTTAACCTAATTATGGCTTTAAGATCAATATAATTGCCTTCTGTATTCTATGCTCAGAAGAGCAGCACAAAAGGGAATGATAGACTCCATTCCCCGAGTCCTTAATTATAAACATCTGTTATCATATCTTAAATGATAATGTAATATTTGTTTTCAGGATTTGTTTATAAACTTGTTTATTTACAATACCTTCTTGGCCAGTTTAATGTTAACTATTTAGGAATGTTATTTTACAGCCATATAAGATTTGTCAAAAAAGGCCATGATTACATAGCATACTCCTATTATATAGGCATATATAAGACTTGTGTAAAACACATTGTTAATTTTATTTGAAATTTCTAACAAATTGTATAAAAACAACAACAAGAGAGCCATGATAACACTGAGCGAAAACTACAACTACTAGTATTTGTTATTGGAGAAAACTGAATTTCTCTGACAAAACAATACATGTGACAGTGACATAGTTCTGACAATAAATGACTTACATTCTATCCTTTGTAATCATCAGTTCAAATATTATGAATGAAACTTGAAAATGTGGCCTCTGGCTTTAACACAGTTTTTTTCAATTCACCAAAAACACATGTTTTCAACTTTCCTTTAAAAGGTTGTTTTAAACATAACTGGAAATTGATAAAAAAATTCTTCATTTGGCATATATATGGATGAATAAAAGTTTTTTGTCTTTACCAAAAGTGACATGAATTGAAATCATCAGGACATTTCAGACCAGTTTCATGAAAATGATTGTTTCAGAAAGACAAGCAGAATTTTCTTTGATTTGACCTCCTGACTTAGATTTAAGGCCAGATGACCCCTGTTTAAACTTTTGAAGAAATCATTCTGACATATTTTTTAATGCTAGACAGAAACCATTTGCTTTTGGCTTGAATTTCATTTACAAGTGTTTTCCTTGACTTGACCAAGTAACTCAAGTTATTTTTACTTTAGAATCTATATTCCATATTAGCCTAAACATCTCCAAGAACCACATCATTGCAGGTTTAAAGAAAACATGTTTTTTTACATTTTACAATTTTGCCGTGTTGGGCTTTCTTTAGGGATTTTGTTTTTCACTATTTCTTTACTTTAATGTCTTAACTTTTGATCCAAAGGTGACCTATTTAAGGCACAAATTGTTACAGAGTTTTATAAATGTGACATCAGACGATTTTCTTATAATTGACTTGATAACCCAGCTTTGGTCCTACATAACCTTTATATGAATTTGACAGAAATATTCAGATTAGTTCACTGGAGAAGTTAAGACCTGACTTCTGTGGTTTTAAGTGTGATAATAAGGTTTCCTTTTAAATTGAGCTGCTAACAGTTTTGAACTAAAATTACCCCTGCTCACAACCGTCCAAGAAATCATTGATGCAATGCATGTATCAAGATTTAATTTAAACAGGGACGTCTGGAATGGTAACCCAAGGTTTTCCTGTGATAAGACAGGTTGATCATAGATAAACTTGTCCTGGAAATCACTCGGACAATACGAGGATGTTTCATTATAAGTATAAATCAAATAGTGGTTTCTATAAAAAAATCCTTATGATTTTCCCTGGTTTCTTTTTTTAGACAAAAATGATCGACAGTTTGTTTATGATATCAATGAGGCGAAAAACAACATGCTGACAATAATGATCCTATCAACACAATGACACAAAGAGTTTTATAAATGTTTAATAGATATTTGACGACAATGACAAAGGTCTAAATCCAAGATATGATTTAGACAAACAATCTGACAACGTCTGATGGAGATCTTTAATGTTAAATATTTAAGGATCCAGATGTCGGATGACCAATCCTAAAAAAATAATCTATTGAGCACTCTGATAAGCCAAAATTTAAGTCAAACAAGCTATGCTTTTTAATGGCAAACACAGACAACGCAAACAAGTCTTGAAACATGATTTGGTGCAAAGAACAAATTGTACACGTTCAGTCAGGGGTGTAACTTAAACACGTTATCATTTTTATAACCCATAGCCGTTATAAAATTTTATCTGTTTACTAACAGGATCAACTTTGTAAATGTTTATTTTATTCGTATATGTTCTCCGTTTTCATTGAAAAGTTACTGTATGTACACGTATATTGTAGAGTACCGATAAATCAACAGGTTAATTGATCTCAGAATCATGTCACGGTCTACTAAACTTTAAATATGTGCTATTTTTAGCTCAAAAATGACCGATTTTTTCTAATTTTGAGATCGCTGTACCGAGAATATCAAAATTTTCCTATTGTTCTGGTAATTTTTTTTTGAAAGTATAAACAATGTGCTTTCACATGTCTGCCTTAAACTCTGTGCGCAAAGCTTAAAAGTCTGTGCGCAA